TTAGTGTTTAGGGTTCAGGGTTTAGGGTTTAGAGTTAGGGTTTAGGGCTTGGGGTTTTGGGTTTAGGGCTTAGGGTTTATGGTAGGGTTTGGGATTCTAGGGTTTGGGGTTCAGGGTGCGCCCTTGATCGTTTGCCTTGCGACCTTGCTGGTTGCATGACCCGAGCCAACATCCCAAACCAGGATGTCCTGTATGGCTGTTGCAACGATCGAACCTTTCAAAGCTTAAACCCTAAACCCTAAACCCTAAACCCTAAACCCTAAACCCTAAACCTAAAACCCGAACCCTAAACCCTAAACCCGAAACCCGAAACCCTAACCCTAAACACGAAACCCTGAACCCCAAAAAACCTACAGCCCCTTAGACCAGGTCTGCGCCTGCGCCTGGCTCTGGGAATCGGGCTCTGGGTCGTTCCTGAGGCAGTGTTAAGGTGCTTTTTTGGGTAAGCCGCCCCTAGCGTTTAGGGTTTAGGGTTTAGGGTTAGGGTTTAGGGTTTAGGGCTTAGGGCTTAGGGTTTAGGGTTTAGGGTTCAGGGTTCGGGGTTTAGGGTTTAGGGTACTCCAACCTGTAAGCCAACAAAAGCCTGCAAAACGAAAGGCAAGACGGGACATCCAATCCATTCAAAGTCCCTAAACCCAAACCCTAAACCCTAAACCCTAAACCCTAAACCCTGAACCCTAAACCCTAAACCCTAAACCCTAAACCCTAAACCCTAAACCCTGAACCCTGAGCCCTGAACCCTATTGGTGTAGACAGCCGGAGCGCTCAGCCGGAGGTCGCGCTTTGCCTCTGGCAGTTGATGCTTCCGACCTGCCAGGCATGTCGAAAATTGGGCCCCACAAAACACTTGAAACCCCAAGCCCTAGCCCTAAACCCTAAACCCTAAACCCTAAACCCTAAACCCTAAACCCTAAACCCTAAACCCTAAACCCTAAACCCTAAACCCTAAACCCTAAACCCTAAACCCTACGCCTTGAACACCCAACCGGCTCAGGCTTGGGGCATCAGGATTTACAACTTAGGGGCCGCCAAACCCGACGATCGCTCCCCAGGATGGTAGCAGGTTTAGGGTTTAGGGTTTCGGGTTTAGGGTTTAGGGTTTAGGGTTTAGGGTTTAGGGTTTAGGGTTTAGGGTTTAGGGTTTAGGGTTTAGGGTTTAGGGTTTAGGGTTTAGGGTTTAGGGTTTAGGGTTAGGGTTTAGGGTTTAGGGTTTAGGGTTTAGGGTTTAGGGTTTAGGGTTTAGGGTTTAGGGTTTAGGGTTTAGGGTTTAGGGTTTAGGGTTTTGGGTGTAGGAATCGGAGAGTTTAGGGTTCTGGGTTGCGGGCTTAGGGCTTTACCTTCTACTCAAGGCGGAACTCTCAGGCAGACTCGCCGAAACCTTCAAACCCAACCACCATGGACCATGTGCGTCCCAAAGGGTCCATGTACCCATATAGTATATACTTAGGGTTTAGGGTTTAGGGTTTAGGGTTACTTGGGCCTTAAAGGCGTTCCCATGTAGTAGCTTTAGGGCCCAAGAAAATATACTATTTGGGTACATGGACCCTTAGGGAGTAGAGCTTGCCGGCTGTAGCCAGAACCTATAGCTGGAACATGGAATGACGTCCCGAAGGCAATGAGGAAGCAACATAAAGCAACTCCTCCAACCACCTCCTAAACCGCGAGGAACGGTGCGGAGTGGTGCTGCAAGACCCTAAACCCTAAACCCTAAACCCTAAACCTGAGAACCAACACAACAGTAAAGCTGCACGGAATACTCACTGGACTCATGGCTTCACTACGAGAAAAAAGGCGCGATGGGGCATTACAAGACGTCGAAACTTAAAACAAGGAATCAGGTGCCCGCCCTTGCTGCCCCCCCCCCCCCCCTCCACCCCCGCCACAAAGAGAGACGAACTATCATCTCGGATCGAGAACCCAGAAATATGCGAGAGATCGGTCTCCTTGCGCAAGGATCGCAGCACACCCGTCTCCCACTTCCTCTCCCGCTGTTCTACCTCCCCATACACTCCGTTCAGGAAATACCCAATCTCCTGCACCAACACTAGTAACCTAGATCCCTAAACCCTAAACAAACCTGAACGCCAAACCTCCGGATCTATGTTCTAATCCAAATGGAAAACCCTGGGACCACGAGACGGAAAACTCCTGCTAAATCCCCAAACCCGAAAGCTCCGCAACCCTTGACCCGACACAGCCAAAACCCTAAACCTTGGAACCCGAACCCTAAACCCTAAACCCATATTATCGCCTAAAGCAAACCGTAATCCAGCACCCTACTTACGCTTAAATATCAATAACCCCGTATCCTGCACCCTAAGTGTCCATGTACCTAAATACTGAATACTTGGGGCCTGAAATTTCTTCCTATATAGGGACTTTGGGGCCCAAGTATGTAAGAAGGTACATGGACCCTTAGCCCTACTTTAGATAGAGTAGACCCTGGAAAAAACATATACTTTCTAGGTACAAGGTGCTATAATCGGAACCCAGAACCCAAAAAAAAGTATTAAAGTAACCCTAAACCCTAAACCCTAAACCCTAAGCCCTAAGAGGTATTAAAGTATATAATAGTACTCCAAAACCCAGTTAGGGCTGGACATCTGAAGGCCCGGCCTCGACATCATGACCCAAGCCTGACCATGGTTCGCGTTTACAGCGAGGAGGGAGGGAGGTCAACCTCTTAGCGGGGTTTAGGGCTTAGGGCTTAGGGTTTAGGGTTGAGGGTTTAGGGTTTAGGGTTGAGGGTTTAGGGTTTAGGTTAATCATGCAAAACAAGGTTCAAGCTTCGACCTCCTCGGTTCTTTCGCGTGCGCCTGAACACTCCCGCAATAGCATGGCCTTTGCAAAACTGACATCGAAGCAGGTGCCAGATCGCGCTGACACCCCGGTGCCGCGCGCATTCTGCGCACCAAGTTGTGCTGAATGGGTTCACTGCGTCCGCCCAAGCCGGATTTGCACCCGCCTCGGTCCCTCGCTTTTGGGCCCTTGGAGTTTTCTTGGAGCCCCAACATCCTAAACCCTACACCCTAAACTCCTGTCCCCTAAACCTAAGCCGAATGGTCTTGGATGGCTCTGGATCATCTTTCAGCTGCTCTTGGAGCGATCTTGGCGTGTGTCAGGTGCTCTTAGATACCCTAAACCCTAAACCCTAAACCCTAAACCTTGGAAGGATCTTGACCTCGGTTATCTGTACCCAAGAGCTGTCTAGACTCAAGTGCAACCTAGGAATCAAAAGGGTGCCTTTTTGGTTTAAAGGGGCTTCTAAGCAAACCTAAACTCAAAAAAATATAGGCGGGCCTACTCTGAGTCCGAGTTGTAGTTCAGAAAATTCTAGCCCTACAAGTGCCCGTGAAGTAGGGGGTTCAGGCTTTACCCAAAGGCTCCAATGAAGTTCGTTCTTGGTTACTTATAGGGGATTCCAGTATGAGGTTTCAGCATGGTTTCAGCTGGCAGGGCGCGCAAAGTTTCCAGAGCCGTTCCTGTTTTCCCGGCGGACAGACGACCAAGAGCTCGAACACACGCAAACGCTGAACCATGAAATTCTAAACCATCCCAAAACGTCCATAACCCCAAACTACTACTTGCTTAAAACCCCCCCCCCCCCCCCAAATGAAGGATGACAATCCCTGTATTGTTGGGCTGTATTGTTGGGGGTTCTTAAGCAAGTAATAGTAAAGACTCCATGCCCCTCCCCCCGCCCCCCCACCCCCCCCACCCCGCCCCAACCCTCCGCCAACAACGCACGACGTGAGCTCTGCAGGTTATACCCTAAAAAGCCCTAAACTCCCAACCCTGCAGCCTGCCTCCACGCAGCAGGTCCACTTCTGAGAAGCCCTGCCATGGAGTTCAAGGCAGAACTATGAACTGTGGCTTTTGGCCTTTCGTTTTCGGGGTTGCAAACTCCAGTTGGGATTCGCAGCCCGAAGCCCAACAAAAAAACCCTGCAAGGGGCTTAACCCAAATGAAGGACACATAAAGAATATCCCACGGCCCTGCCTGGTAAGTATCTGGCTATTTTCCAAATAGGGGTGGTACCCTGCGAATGCCACCAAAATACTTTCTTGCCCTTATTATAAGAACTCCAAAAAGGGTTGAGGGTTGAGGGCCCCTATTTTCGGAACCTACATGCAGGGCATTAGACTTCCTTACGGGCTGTGTTTTCTAAGGGGGCGGCAAAAGATCAGGGGTCGTGCGAGTTCTGGCACCCCAACAGTGTGAAAAGCCACCTGCTCGGCACCCTAAACCCTAAACCCTAAACCCTAAAAACCCTAAAAACCCTAAAAACCCTAAAAACCCTAAAAACCCTAAACCCTAAACCCTAAGCTTCAAGCCAGTGCTTCAAACACCCGGCAGCTGGGCGACTGGCGGCCTTTGCGCTCCCTCCCCCCGCGACTACCCAGCTGGTGGCTCAACGGAGAGCACACGGAGCACACTCGGCTGCGATGTCAAGTTAGGGTTTAGGGTTTAGGGTTTAGGGTTTAGGGTTTAGGGTTTAGGGTTTAGGGTTTAGGGTTTAGGGTTTAGGGTTTAGGGTTGAGGGTTGAGGGTTGAGGGTTGAGGGTTGAGGGTTGAGGGTTGAGGGTTGAGGGTTTAGGTTTTTTTAAAGGTGTGCGGGGCATACACTTAATCCCCTCCCTGTAATATTGAACCATTCCCTAGCCCCGAATAAGAAATACTCCCACTATAGAGTGATATGATCGTATATGAGGGGGAATACGTACATATCAGGGGGTGAAGGGGAGGTTGAATATTAGGGGGAGGGGCCGGGGAGGGGATTCCTATTGACTCTGGGCTCTATTTCTTTTTCAGGCATGTTTGGCCCTGTTCAGGCCTGGTTTGGGGACGATAAGCCCTTACTTCTACCCTCCCCCTCCAGGACCCCAGTACATAGAAAAGTTAACGTGCAGGTCCACCCGCACGAGGTTCGTAGGCATGGGGTTGTAAGGGCTCCCATGCCATTTTTCGTGCGCGATCGGTCAGGCTTGGAGCATCTCCTTTCATTCCGCTTCATCAGCTTTGGGCGTGTTGCGGCGCTCATTCAAGAAGGCCGCTGCCAAGGCACCGATCATGATGGCGCAGGTGCCGCTGGCCATGGCGCAGATCACGAAGACTAAGGCACGCTGCGTGAAGGTGGACTTCGCCCAGTGCAGGTCGTTGGCAATGAGGCAGGTGGTGAGGCCGGTCATGGTCAGAGCCACCATGAGAAGCCCAGCTTCGCGCCCGTTCCAGGAGCCCACTTGGTAGGGCATGAAATACATATTTGCGGCCAGGGACGCGATCAGCACCAGCGTCACGGCTTCCAGCTGGAGCGCGGGAGAGAGCGTCACCGGGAGCATGGTCGTGATCAGGGCCAGGAAGACCTTCCGCACCAGGCGCTCCGCCTCCCAGGCCGCACACTCGGGCTTGTAGGCCTGCACAAGGTAGGCGACGTGTGGCTCCAGGGGCTCACGGCGGTAACGCACCGCGTAGATCCAGCTGCCCACGCTGAGCACCAAAGCGATGGCGATGGCGGCCAGGACTGCGCAAATCCGCTCCAGGATGCAGGAGGTCATGTGAGGTCCGGGTGGCAGGAAATCCATGAGCAGCTCTCCCCCAGGCAAAGCCTCAGGGCGCAAGCGAAAACTCACCAAATACTTGCCAAAGCCAGCGACGAAGACCGGCAGGAACACGTTCACTCCAACCACAGCTGCTAGCCAGCCGCCCTTTGTTACCGCAAGCCACGACACAAGCACTGCTGGCCAAATGGAAGTGAGAATGTGGGTGTGGTAGACAGTCTGCTTCATGCCCATCATCGCCAGCAAGCACTCGCACGACATGCTGGCGCCGCCAGAGCCCTGGCCTTGAGACACCATCTCGGCAGGAAGTGACAAGTAGCGGAAGACGGCCTGCGAGGACGCCTGCAAGTCCTCCTGGAAAGTGCGCGTTTGCATTGCCCCTGACATGGCGATGCCGGCTACCACTGCGAACGACATGAGCTGGTTGAGCAGCGTGGCGCTCTCTGCACGCCGGCGTTTGGCCCCAGACACGCTGCCAACTGCAGAGGTGAAGAGGGCAAGGTTCTTCAGCAAGTAGAAGGAGACATACCAGGCGGCCTGATGCAGGTCTGTGGAGCAGGGGACGCACTGCAGGACGTTGCTGTCGCCACGGGCATATCCGTCATCGCACTGGGTGCACGCTTCACCGACGTAGCCCTGTGCACACATTGCCCAAATCTCTTGCGCTGTTCCACCAGGTCGGTCACTGGCACCGAGGTGACCCCCGGGGCAGGCGATCTCGCTGGGGCACCTAAACCAATTGGAGAGGTCTGAGGGCTTGCTATGGTTCCAAGTCACCATGTAGCCGCCTGGCAACCCAAGCTCTGTGGGAGTGCAGCGGATGTCAGTATCTGTGATGTTGGGGCAAAGCACGCAATGGGCATCGGCCCGGTTCTGTTCCAGGCGAGTCCGCCCCTCGGCACATGGCTTGCACTGCAAGCCATCCTGCTCGGCAAAGCTTTCCCGCCCCTCGCCACGGGAGCATAGCAGCTGCGACACGTTCGCCTGCTGCGCCTGCAGAATGCAGCCCGGCGCCTCCATGCAGTCCATCTTCCCGATCTTGACCGTGGAACCGGCGCCTGCGGCGATGGCGGAACTGCTACGCGAGTGGCTCCAAAAGCGGACCGCCCGCAGGTCGGCGCTGACTTTCCTTAGGTGTGGGGGCCCTAGAAGAAATATTTATGGCTGTGTAATTAATGATGAAATGGGGGGGGGGGGGTTAAGGGGAACAAGAATTTTAAAAGGAATGTTCAAACCTACCCCTGCTTCTCCAGCTGCAGGACTGCAGCTACGGGAGCATCGCAACCGTTGCAGCTGATCTCCTCTGCTTCGAAAGCCCCTCGAACACTGTAAATGCCTCCTCCGGCACCTTTCGCGGCGCAGCTCTGCAAGGCAAGCGGGCCACTGAAGCTCACGTTCCCGGACTTCATGTAGAGGCAGCCGCCGAAGCTGCTGGCCGAGGAGTTGGAGATGTGCAATCCTTGCGCGTGGATGCCCGCATGGCGCTGTGCATACATGCCACCACCGAAGGCTGCGTGGCAGTCGTGGATGGTCAGCCGGGCGGCCGCCGCCACCTCCAAGGAATTGGCCCACAGGCCTCCGCCACTTCCGCCGCCGCGAGGTGCACGGCTCCGGCAGTTGGTCAGGTTCATGTGCCCGGCGGAGATGTTGGTTAATCCATACGCGAGGATGCAGCCGCCTTCTTCCGTGGCTGAGCTATCGACAGCCGACAGGCTGCCCCCCGACATGTCTAGGCCTCCGCAGGCGTACAACGCGCCCCCACCCTCTGATGCAAAGCAACCTTCCGCAAACACGACGGCGCCCCGCTGCCGGAAGGTCGTTCCGACGTACAGTCCGCCTCCGAGGCCCGCGCCCACGCCTCCTGCCGAACAGTTCTTCAGCTGCAGGCGTGCCCCACTGAGGAGCTCCGCCTCGCGGCCGACGAAAAGGCAGCCCCCAAGGGCTGTTGGCTGTTGTTGGTTCTGACAGTCCTGGATGCTCACATCCGCCCCAGCCTGCAGGGTGAGGCTGCCATTGACGCTGATGCAGGGGCCCTCCGTGCCACCGAGCGCTCGATTGAGAGCGCGGCGGAAGATCATCTTCATCTTATTGTTAGAGTGCTGGGGATTGTTCTTCTTGACGTATTTGACCACGAGGCTGCCCCGGAAGCTCACGTTGCCGTTGAAGTGAATCGGCGCCTGCACCTGAAGCTCCCCGCCGTCTCCCGTCACCTCACATGGGCCATGGAGGACCACCTCCTTTCTTACCTTGTAAACTCCGGAAAGCCTAAGCTCACCGTTGGGACAGTCCTCCGGAAAATCTCGGGCCAGTGACGCCTTTGTTGGCTGAAGGGGCTGGGCACGTGCAAGCAACTTGCCGATGTCGCTGCGCGGGCCACGGCTCAGCAAGAAGCTTGAGCTCCCAATGTCCAGGCTGATCTGCTCAGAGATCCGCTCACAAGACAGGGCATGGATCAAAAGCACTGCTACATGGCCGGAGATCTGCATTCCACGCGCAGCACTGTGCTGCGAAATATGAAAGCTACATCTGGCAAGCCTACGGCCAATCAACTTTGAGCCACAGTGGGCTCTAACAGGCACGCAGAGTTCACAGGCGAGGGGCTTGAAACTCGCGCGTTCGCTTTGTAAGGCAGCTCACAAGCCCCGAGCCCTTGCAAGCAGCTGAAGACGCAGCACGGCTTCGAAGAGGAGCCTTGAAGCCTTGAAAGCTAATACTCGGTGCCAGGCACGTGGTCTCTCACGCTTCGCCCTCGAACGAGGACCAGGCTTGGGATCACACCTGCCCATGACACATCATGACTCGAGCTACTTCTTCTATGTCTTCAAGTCATGTGTGTGTGTGTGTGTGTCTTCACATTTCCTCTGGCGGGGCCTTACGCAACAAGGATTGCTGCGAAACAGGTGGCCGCGAGACAGGCGAAACACGGAGGCACTGCTAATGTGGTCTTGGGGCTCTGATCGCGCTTTCATCTTTGCATTTGGGTTGTGAGTTTTGGGTTTGGGTCTTGGGAGCCTTACAAATACTCGATTGAACTGCTTGCTGTGCCCACGAATATATTTAGTTTGCAAACCAGGGCAACGTCGAATAAAGGGGACGGAATAATTACTCATAATATCCCATTCTGGTCCCTCAATAATTCTACTTCTTTATAACCCCCGAAAACCCTGTTCCAACTATCACGGCGCCTATACTAGCACTGTTCAAAGCCGAGAAGTTAAGATCAGCAAAATTTGCTCTTGCTGCTGCCGTCCGAACAGCGGTCGCCTAGGCCTGCAACCGCACAGACAAAGCCCCGAAGCCACCCAAACTTTACAGCTACGTGCGTGTCCCCGAGGGCTAAACCCTAAACCCTAACCCCTAAACCCTAAACCCTGAACCCTGAACCCTGAACCCTGAACCCTGAACCCTAAAACCCTAAAACCCTAAAACCCTAAACCCTAAACCCTAAACCCTAAACCCTAAACCCTAAACCCTAAACCCTAAACCCTAAACCCTAAACCCTACCGTAAGCCCCAAGCTCGATGCCCTTGAAGTCAGGCTTCGACTTCGGCACACACACATGATGACATGATGTCGAGGCTCTAGCTACTAGGAATCATGAGTTTTTGGCGAAGAGACACAAGCTTTCCTGAAGAGACACACCCCACATAAGCTACCCTCACCAAAGCTGCGTGTGATATGAACCCTACTTGGCAAAAGGCCGCGGATTTTTTTCGAAAATGATTTCTCGGATTCGCACACGCCGCCGCCTGCGCGCTGACTTTTCAGGCAGAAGGCGCCATTTAGTTCAACTTCGCAGCTTAAACCTCCTAGACCCATAACAACTGAACCCTAAACCCGACCACTCCTTGATCCGTGTCATATAGCGGCCTAAATCATTCGAGTAGGGTTTTTGGGGCTTCTTCTAGTCTGACTATACAGGGTCCATAGTGGAATATTATTAGATATGATTCCGACCACTATGTTACCCGGCCGTCTCGGCCCATGCACTATGGACAGTCAGTGGATTCGAGCTTGGTGTGCTGAGCCTTTGGCTCTTACAAGAGGGTTTTGCAGGGGTTCCTACGCGGTTCGTTTTTCTCATTCCGTTTGGCTTTGAGGGTCTACAGGGCTCGTAGGGTTCTTGGGGTTTATGTGGGTCTATGAGGTTTCATGGAGGCTTACGAGGGTTTATGGGGGGTGTAGACCCCCACCCTGAGAACCCCAAGAGGGTGAGGGACTCATAACACATGATGAAGTTGCGGCTACTCAAGAATGTCCGTAAGGTATCTAAGCCATAAACCCTGAGCCCTAAACCGCTAAATCTCTGGGGCCCTTAGCTCTCCACCTTAAGCAGCTTTGGTCAACCTCCAACTTCTGGGCTTCTTTTTAAGGGGGCCGACACTATGCATAAGGCTCCGTGCTATAAGAGGAGCCCACATGAGCCTAGTCCATTAGGGTTTAGGGTCGTTTAGGGTTTAGGGTCGTTTAGGGTTTAGGGTTTAGGGTTTAGGGTTTAATTAGGGTTTAGGGTTTAGGGTTTAGGGTTTAGGGCTTAGGCCCCACATGGCTATGGCTCATTTGGCAAAGGTGTGAGGCGTCCCCGGCGCAGAGGCATTGACTGCGCCTTCGGGGCATAAACCCTAGCCCTAAACCCTAAACCCTAGCCGTAGCCCTAAACCCTAGCCCTAAACCCTAAACCCGGTTGAGGGCTTCAGCATACTTTGATTCTTGGGGGTACAACCCTTTTGGGGGCAGGTTTTCCCTATGATTTTGAAGGCTCAGGAACCAAGTGAAAACGAGTTTAGGGTTTAGGGTTCAGGAACCAACAGAGTCGAAACTTTCGGCAGAAGTTTTAGCGATGTACGGCAGGGGAGGCCCTTGATCGTCGTCGACTGACATGCTTCGGACTCGGGGCCCTAGGTTAAGGTACCTTCTATCACACTGCTGTCCGGCCTGAAAACCCTGTAAGGCGTTCGTTCCCCAACTCTGTAAAAAGGGACCAGTATGGAAGGCTGACGGTCGAGGATGTTACCTCCTTTGGGCTACTACACCCTTTGCACAGCTGGCACGCTCTGCAAATATCGCGGAAGTTTGAAAAATCTGCATGCCGAAGCGGTGATTCATTAGGATTAGGGTTTAGGGCTGATGGCTTGGGAGTTACCAGCATCCCAGCCCCCCGATCCTCATACAAACACGGCAGAGTGGCTCGCCGCACCAGCGGGCGGAGCGCCATGCCACAAAGCTCAAGGCCTTTGAGAGGAGATCTCCGAGGACGAACAGGTCAGGTTGGGATGTTTCCCCATATACTAACAGTGCCTGATAGGGATGAGAGTACCCCTAAACCCTAAACCCTAAACCCGAAACCCTAAACCCTACCCTCAGAAACCTACTATAATCTCTATGAAGGGCTGGTGAGTATAAGGGAGGAATATCCGAAAGGTTGGATTCAGGGTTGGTTTTTCTCCGGGAGGATGGCTTCTGCTAGCATCGTTTCGGGGTGAGGGCTCAGGATGCTTTAGGGTTTAGGGTTTAGGGTTTAGGGTTTAGGGCCTTAGGGCTTTCTGAGGGTGCCTGTCGTTTAGGGTTTGTGGTAGGTTGCACACGGGGTTGATTTTGTGGGACTAACATGAACCCTAAAGCCTTCCCCCTGAGAGGGTTTACGTTTATGGACCCCTTGATCGGGGCTATCGTAGCATTGGGTCCATGATCCCCGTTTTTGCGTTTCAGCATCGAGAATCGGCTTCCAAGGGCTCAGGGTTTAGGGTACGGGGTTTAGGGTTCAGAGCTTCAGAACAATGGAAGCCCTTAAGGACGTTTAATCTCCCACTTCGTATCCTACTGATATATACGCCTACTGTGATAACTTCACTTTTGCTTCGTGACAAAACGCAGCAGATCTGCAAAGACTGGCAGTCAAGAAGCATTCAGAACTGACTAGTTGCACAGCGCTTCTCATACAACTTGGCTGTGATTTTGGATTCAGGGTTTAGGGTTTAGGGCCCCAAAAACCACCGACCCCAACGTATGGAACTGACCCTGCAATTCAAGGTTTGGGGGTTTTTGTGCTGAAGGTCCCGGGAATTTAGGACCTCACCTCCCGGCGCACTGCCGGACGGGGCGCTGGGGTAGCCCAAGCCAGCGCACCTCGTGGGCGTGGGGCTTTGTTTAGGGTTTAGGGTTAGGGTTTAGGGTTTAGGGTTTAGGGTTCAGGGTTCAGGGTTCAGGGTTCAGGGTTTGGGGTTTAGGGTTTGGGGTTTAGGGTTTAGGGTTTGGGGTTTAGGGTTTAGGGTTGTAAGGCTTGAGGGACTTCGCGGAGCTGGCAATCAGTTTGTGGCCCGGAGTGCCTCCCAGCATATCAGGCACCCCACCTTCGTTCTGAACACCCTAAACCCTGCCAGGGTTTAGGGTTTAGGGTTAGGGTTTAGGTTTAGGGTTTAGGGTTTAGGGTTTAGGGTTTAGGGTTTAGGGTTTAGGGTTTAGGGTTTAGGGTTTAGGGTTTAGGGTTTAGGGTTTAGGGTTTAGGGTTTAGGGTTTAGGGTTTCGGGCTTAGGGTTTAGGGTTTAGGGTTTCGGGGGTCTTTTAACCCCAAAACCCCGAAAAGCACCAAGAGGCCCGAAAATCCTTGTTCCAAACATCCCTTCTCAGTGTATATCATGGCATCATGAGGAGGGAAAGAAGACCCCGCCGAGCTTGGCGAAAAAATAAGAGACCTAGGGTTTAAGGGTTTAGGGTTTGGGGTTTAGGGTAGGGTTTGGGGTTTAGGAGGAAGTGAACGGTGAAACTTTTCTTGCTCGGAACAGCTCAAGAAACATGCAACATGTGGAGCTCTGCTGAATAGCTGGAACCCGAAATTAAACCCGATACCCCAAAGCCTAACAACACCACCTCAAATAGAACTGCCATAATAGGGTTAACTAGTAAATCATGTGTTGTGGCAACTTCTTTTTCATTCCTTCATAACAAACGAAAATAAAGCCTCAACTCTAAACCCTATATCCTCACAAGCGCAATGCGACCTGAACCAAACACACACAGAAACGCTACACCCTGAAAAGCCATAAGCCCTTAAAGCCTTAGAACCCAAACCCTCCTAAACCCTATTAACCCTAAACCCTAAAGCCCTAAAGCGGCCTCGAGGCCGAATCACGGAAACCAGACTCCGAGGACGCAGGCCCTGCATGTGCCGCTCGCCGCGGCGTCCCATGCCCTCAGTCAGGGTTTAGGGTTTAGGGTTTAGGGTTTAGGGTTTAGGGTTTAGGGTTTAGGGTTTAGGGTTTAGGGTTTAGGGTTTAGGGTTTAGGGTTTAGGGTTTAGGTTTTAGGGTTTAGGGTTCAGGGTTCAGGGTTGAGGGTTTAGGGTTTAGGGTTTAGGGCTTAGGGTTTAGGGTTTAGGGTTTAGGGTTAGGGCTTAGGGCTTAGGGCTTAGGGTGGAGGGTTTAGGGTTTAGGGTTTCGGGTTTCGGGTTTACGGTTTAGGGTTAGGGCTTAGGGCTTAGGGCTTAGGGT